AATTAAATAGAGCTCGTGATTCATAATACCATGAAAAATACCAAATTATCTAATTCTGAGGCCAATTAGCACTTCCACGCCAGAACACCTTCACTTCCTTCCTGCTGCATGGAAGTGAAGGAGTTCTTGCTCCACATAAATTGATGGGATGAAACTCCTTATTTTTCCATTTACAAGCTATTATAGGACCATCGGTACCAAAACTTTTGAATTGTCTGCCATCCCAATCAATTTGCTGTAAATTTTGCATTTTCTCAAACTTAATTACAAGAATCTAGTTGGATCAATAAAATATGGTGGTATAAGTGTTCTTGCATGGGGGTGTAAATCGGCGGCAGAATTAGGTAATTTGATGTTTTTTGTTGATGTTGTGAATCATGAGCTCTATTTAAATATTTTTTTAAAAATAAATTTTAAATTATCCTCCCAAAATTTGGATATTATAGACGACTTAATTTTTTAACAGAGTAATCACGCCAAGCGCACTGCTCTCAATGTTCGCCACTGGTGTCTCTATAAATGTTCTCAAATTATGAAAGCACCTCCTCAACCACATTATTTAGCCCAGTAGAACATATTAGGTAAGATTTTGATGTAAAAAAAGAAAAACATGGCAAATAAACACCAAATGTAAAGTAAAAACAATAATCCCGAAGAATGGAGGAAAAATGGATCCATAAACTATACCATGCCACTTAAAAGTTGTTGTGGACACTAAAAGATATCCTACTAAGTACTAAATTAAGAAAAAAAATACAATATTTTTAAAGCTAAGTTGAGATTTTTGTGAGGTGTACGAAGACTTTTGTGGCGTAATATTTTAGTAGCTTTGTGATTATTAATTTTTTTAAAAAAAATAGTTATACTATTTTTATAAAATCAATATGTCATTCCATAAAGAACAAGTTGCAGATATAAAAAAAAATTACAATATATTAATTTTTATTAGTCGAAAACGTTAAATTTTATAAGAAATTGCAACTGTACGAACACTTTTGTGGTCAATTTATTCAGTGCTTCTAAAATCGTCAATATTTGTGATCCGATATTCAATTATAATATTCTTCACGTCCCCCTTCCTCACAATAACATGGTATTGAAATCAATAGTACTATACTTTAAAGCTACACTGATGCGACGCTAGTTTAAACTTAATTGATTAATTAATTCCATATACCCAATTTCAATTACCCAGGTTCTACTAGCACATCGCATCATAGCTTAAGTTAAAAATTAAACACTAAATCTCTAAAGACAATAAAACAGTACTCTAAATTAAAAAGGCCGGTTCTTTAATTAACTATTAATTTATTTTTTGAATAACATGATTAAGTTTGAGTTAATGTAAAAATTGAAACTTTACAAAATTCTACTTAGCTTTGAGAGAGAGAGTCTGGTAAAAAGAAGTGAAACATGTTCGCCACCCGGAGTCCCGCGGAGTCCAGTTCAAGGCCTGGATCTAAATTGAGATTGTAGCTCAGAGTCTCAAGTGTGAATGTCTCGAAAATCGGGTGCATCCCGTTTTTATTTGGCGTCCTGTTTTCTCCTATATTCTAGAGCGGATTCTTTACCTCGTACGCTTAATTTCTTTTGATTGGTCCGGAGTCAGCGCAAGGTTACCGCACAACGGTCAATGACATTTTTAAGCGCGGGAAAGTCCCCCGACGCACCCCAATTATTTATGGGTCTAATGAACCTTGCGGGCGTGAGAACGTATGCACCCTTAAAAGTTCGTTTACTTAGGTGGGGCAAAACAACACATTCCTTCCACAAAATTCCGTTTCCTGTAAACAGGGCAAATGTAAAAACTGCAGTTGTAACTTTGGGGACCGGCGACCTCCCATCAACACAATGCGACTTGAACGTCTTAAGTGCCACCAGCGTTCATAAACTTCTTGCTCACTCAAAGCGTTGATTGCCCCGGATGTATCTATACGTCTTTCCCCAGTACGATATTTTCTAATTATTGCTATACATAAAACTATTCCGAAGGCTTTGGTTTGCAATGACCTTGACGTTATTTGCAAAGGATTTACTTATTTTTATTCCTTTTCTCTCCCCAACTCCCTATATACATGACATACGCGTGTCTAAGTGAAAACGGTGGCATTGGGTAGTGAAATTAACAAACTTATATCGGCGGTTTAGGATTACTTATACACCATGAAAATTATCATGGTAAGTGTTAATTTTTGTATAGAATTCTATATAGCTCAAGCCCATATGATCACTGGTAAATATTAAATTTTAATTTATATTATTGTTAAATTAGTTATAAAAAGTAATGTGCAGTACTGATAAATTTATAAGTTTATTAGATCAAAGTAAATGCGCAGTTTATTTTGTCAGAATTCATTTGTTTCATTACTTTCAGTACATTAGTATGTATATAAGCTGTTTACGACTTTTCAATAAACTCGAGTCCCCTTTGCAGAGTTCTCACGTCCCCCAAGGGGGCGCAACCCACAGTTTGAGAAACACTGAATTAATTTTTAATAAATACAGAGGGTTTTTTATCCAGGTATAGAAGTTTCAGTTGGCATTACTTTCCAAGATGGCGACCGATTTAACAGCTGTCAAGTGATTTATTCTCAGTTTGGTTTGGCAATTCATCATGACTCACGACTGAACAACGCTTTCAAATTGTGCAATTTTATTTCGAAAATAATGGTCGATTATCATGAGCGAATTTTGTTTAGCGATAAAGCGCCTTTCTGGTTGAATGGCTACGTCAACAAACAAAACTCCCGCATTTGGAGTGAAGCTAATCCACAAGTGTATGTCGAAACACCGTTACATCCAGAAAAACTGACTGTTTGGTGCGCTTTATGGCTGGTGGAATCCTTCTTCAAAACCGATGAAGGCCACAACGTTACAGTAAATGGTGATCGATGAAGAGCCATGATGACTAACCTTTTCATTCCTGAATGAACAATCACGATGTCCAGGAGCTGTGGTTCCAACAAGACGGCGCAACATGTCACACAGCTCGTGCCACAATCGATTTATTGAAAGACACGTTTGGTGGCCGCCTAATTTCACGTTTTCGACCTGTGAATTTGCCTCCAAGATCTTGTGATTTAACACCGCTAGACTATTTTCTGTGGGGCTATGTAAAGTCATTGGTCTATGCGGATAGGCCACCAACGCTTGACCAATTGAAAGAGAACATTCACCGTGTTTTTGCCGATATACGGCCACAAATGTTGGAAAAAGTAATCGAAAATTGGACGTTTAGATTGTACTACATCGGAGCCAGCCGTGGCAGTCCTATGCCAGAAATCATATTTAAAATGTAATGCCACAAGATTATCTTTCGAATAAAAAAAATTCATGTCAATTGAATAATACATCGTTATTTTATTGCAATTTAAAGTTCTATACCTCTCAAAAATACACCCTTTATAAATAAGTTATTGTGTTGCCATTCAAAATAATCATGCGTATAATATTTCAGCTCAATTCAGCGCTTAAAAATGTATTTTATTAATGATTGAAAATTCCACCGAGATAAATAAATAAATAAATATAGAGTGTGAGCTAATGGTAGGAATTGAAGAACAAGTAGCAAACAATACGAATTCAACATACCAAATGTACTTTCCGAATGCATTTTTTTGTGTCAGCGGAACTTAACCTAGTGATACTCAATCTTTTTTTGTGCTGGGCCGCCTACATATCTCAGCTATTTCAAGCGGGCCACTTCATGAGTATAAATGGGGGAGGGGGAGAATTGCTTTAAGACCAAGATATCATTGTAAATTCAAAATGTGGTAAATTGATCAAAATTTTATAATTCCTGTTTTGCTTTTTTTAAAATATTTTTATTTCTTATATATATATATATATTATTTCTTTCACTAACACTAAATTGGAATCATTTAAGAAACACTCCTTCACAATTTCTTCATCAGTAAATGGTTTCATATGGTTACCAATATTACAATAAACTTCATAGCATATATTTGTTACCACCGTGATATTACCACTGACAAATCGTTTAATTGATGTTATAAAGATTGTTGTAATAAAGAAAGAGCTATTCGAGAAAACGTCTCATTGAATGTTTCCTCCTCTTTATTGGTGTTTTTTTATTATAGCACTTCGTGACAAATCAAACAATTACTGATCCATGTTCAATAACAAACATCTATTCATACCCACAAGACACCGACAGCAATCAGTAAAATCAATATATTTGATTTCATGGCAAAGAAATTCCAACCAAAATTTTAATACAATGTTCTTAAATGAGTAAATTTCTCAGCGCAATGGGCCTTGACCGGGCCCGTGAGCCACAGGTCGAGTATCACTGATTTAACTCCTTAGCCGGATTGTCTGTACATCGTGGAGGCTACTGAAATCTGGCCACAACAGTTATCATTACGTTATGCGGGTACTGATATTTTGTTTACTTTTTCAATCCTTACTATTATTTCACACTCTAAAGCTGTCGATGAATTAGGCCAACGATTTATGGGTCCACCTTCCCCGTACAGCACAAATTTTCGTCATAATATAAAAAAAAGAAAAAAATAGAGCCATCTTGAAAAGTTAAGCTTATTTCTAACACGTGGCAATAGTGTAAACTGAAATTATGTAAAGAAAACATTAATATATCTCTCAAAGAGAGAAATAATAAGAAAATTTTCTACAGAAAAATTTAGGATAAAAACTTGCATGTAAAAATAAAAAACATGAAAACAGAAAATCAACCCTCTACGCAGAGGTCCAACACAAAATGGTGTTAAAATTAGAATATAAAAACAAGAACAAAAAACCCGTCTTGCCACCTAGATAATATATATCGTTCAAATTATCAAACGTTAATAAAATACTTTTCATTCATCCACCCGAGTTCAAATACATTTTTTTAGTATTGTAGAGGGTGACACAGTTTTTTTCAAATATTAATTCATTGGTTCTATTTGAATAAAAAATAAATAGTAACAAGAAACAATGGTCCATCACCATATATAAAAAGGAAAATTGCTCGCCGTATCCCTGTAGAGCAATGGGTAGCGCGAGTTGGACTTCTAATCCAAAGGTCGCGGTTTCAAATCCCACCTGAGATGGCCTAATTTCTGAGAAATATGATTTTTTTACTGTACTATTTTACTGAAATAATTAAATTTAATTAATGAATAAATAGTAACAAACAAACATAATAGTCTAATACCTTTTGTAGCGGTGAGAGGGATTTTAAAGGTCGTGAAAGACGAATCACGTATAAGTATATGGTCCTAAGCGATAAAAATAAATTATATATATATATATAAATTTTTTGTTATATAAATATATATTAGTGAATATAAGAATAAATGAGCATTTTTAACAGTGAAACAACTGCAGGTTTTAAGTATACATTTTACCTATTGAATCAACTCTTAAAATAAGCACCAGTTGCTTTATAACTTGTGAGGTTGACTTATTTTAAAACGCTAAATTATTATTTACAAGATTTATAAACGGAAAATGATTATATATTATCATTACCAATAATGGGCTTCTTAGATCGACCATGTAAACCACCCCTTTTTTTAAAAAAAGAAGGCCATGACAAGTATTATATTTATTTACGCAATTTTGTTTAGGAAGTGGTAGGGTTATATTCGTTGGCTATTGCAAACACTCGAATCCACAAAGGCTAAAGCAAATGTTTTCCTTTGCCCAAAGATTATTAGACTAGCTTCTCTACTACTATTGATCCATACATATAAGAGGGGAGCATTGAACTATATAGAAAACTGTTATCTTTCAGGTATACGATATATATAATATGATCTAATAAAATGCTTTTTTCTCAAGAAGCCATAATGTAATTATTAAATGTCATAACATGATTATATCGTTTGTTTGATAACAATACTCGACAAAGTATGCTTTTATTGATAAAGCTAAGAGTGCATGCTGTGAAACAAAACATGTATTTTTCCCTTCTATTACTGAACATGTAATATCTACATCGTAAAGGAAAATTAAACTCGTTGAAGCTTAATCGAAAAGGCTTCACTAATTATGATATGTTACATCATACATAAAATTAAAAGTAGTTAATACATAATACGGAGATTTAAGACTTATCAATAGATAAGAATTGATCAAATTTTGATTTTTTGCTTTTAGCATATTCGCAATGCTTGTAATCACTTTGCTACTGAATGCAAAAAAATAATTTTTCAGTTCCGAAGATTTTTATAGAATTTATGTTCTTTTCAAATGAAACACTTGATTGACCACTCATCTTTGTTTATGCTGTCAACAATATAAATAAAAAAATTATAAGTATAAAGATAACAATAAATATAAGGGAAAGAATGATCTCAGTTATGGGGTTAAAATAATTTATTTTTCATTTATTATGTATTTGTGGATGTATGTTATATATTCAAAAATCACAGCACTCTTACACAATGATAAGCTATTCATAAATAAAAATAATAATACTGTGATCAAGCTGGCATATTTAATACTTATATTATTTTACATTTAGATATGTTGTATATAAGTTTCTAGAGTTTGCATGACTTTTGAGCTGCATTTTCAATCATATTTCAGAAGAGAACATCGAAATAATAATTCTTCATAGCCTACTGAGGATTTGTTTATTACTAAAAGTTAGAGAAATGTTAGTTATACCAACCCCAAAAAAATCAGTTTATAAATTATAAATAATATGGTATCAATTAGTTATATCAATAACTGATTTAATCAAATGGGATTGAGGACTTACAATCATACGCAAAAACTTTCATAAAAGGGAAATTTAATCTTTGTCACTTTAGTTAGGTTAAAATGTTCCTTGCATAAAATGTTTTTCTCAATTTTTTTGAAAATATCCGCATCTATTATATATAGATGTATAAATATATGCTAATGAATACTTTGAGATTAGAGAAAATAGTGGGAACAGGAGAATTTAAATAATTTCATTAGTTTTTAAGGGAAAAAATATTGGTATCAACATATATATATATATATATATATATATATATATATATATATGTTAAGTAGAACGTCATTTATCCGAATCGATTGGGACCAGACACCGTTTAGATACTCGATTGTTCAGATAATCGAAAACCGAATGCGATCCATACAGTATATGAAACCGAACACTATATGAAAGTTCAACATCATCACATGCAGGTGACACGCTTGAAGAAAAAGCAAAATAGGTGCAAAAAATGTCACAATTTTACCTTTATTGAGGGAAATAATTACTTATTTTTCGCTGTACCATTGTACACCTTCCTTTTAACCTTTGAAGTCAGCCGATCCGCCCAATATCTCGTTAAGTTCCAGAGCTTTTTCGCACAACACAGTGCCCGATATCGGGTCACCTTTGCTCCTTCTTTGTAAAATATACAAGTAGAGTGCATGATCAAGAACAACATCGTTTGCTTCCCTCATGGATTTCTTTTACTTCGATGTGCGTTTTACAAAGGCGCTGTGGTAGGCCAGGCGATGCAAGTATGTTTTTCAGCTGGAACGTTTTTTAATGACCACTAGATTGCACCAAATGTCCATTATATTGAAACTAAACATAGCTAGAGTAGCCTGCCCTTCAGTTTGTTTATATTCTTCCTGGATTTGGTATTTTGCTCATCAGTTGCGGCGGTGGAGAGTATAATCGAAATGTAAGCAAACAGCTCGCAAAATTTGCACTTGATATAGAACAATCGCGTTTCTAATAAACCTCCCAATGCAAATTTATTTTCTTTTTCTTAACAGTGTGTAGTGTTTTAGGGTTTTAGCGTCAGTTCTGTTACAGTTTTTGTTGCTTTCGGATATATTTCGCGCAATTTTCTTATTTCAAACCCTTGACTTCAGGTTATTATTTGATTATTTTGAAGGCATTTTCCTAACCTTAATAGTAACAAAAAGGGTAAAAAATCCCAAAGTGTATAGTCACAAACCGTTTGAAAATAATAAAAAAACAAAAGTACCAAATATTTTATGCTTGCAAATCATGCAATGTAGGATTTTGCGTTTCTCCGTGCTTCGAGATTTTTCACACTAAATCTTCATTTCAATTTTGCTTCTTCTTTTTAAAGAATAATCCTTGTCGTAATGTTTTATTAATTTGAAAGCGTATTAATGTGTTTTGTCAACGAAAATTTTACAAACAATTTAATAGTGCTTACGAAATTTATTTCTCAATGTAAGTCATATATATTTTTTTAATATATTTTCATGTAAGATAAAGGAAAAAAGTTATACTTTATAATTTTAATATAGCTAACAACTTGTGTAATAATCTAAAGGGATACCAAAATTACAACGTTAGGACAGAAGTTTTATTATTTATGCTTTTTTCCCCTTAAGTTAGACATAGAGAATGAAAATGCCCCATCCTGAAGGAGTTAAAAACAACTGAAATGAATAATTTTAATTCTTTTTTCAAACCTACAATATCAAAATACCTTTGTATGTATTTATATTTGAAATTCTAAAAATGATGCCTACATCAACAATACAACTCCATTTATTTTTATTTCTATATTTTAATAATTAAAATAAGGATTATATATATATATATATATATATATATATATATATATATATATGGTGCCATAGTTAAATTTACAGTTATATATTTAAACTCTACATTTAGTATTTCCACCATTTAGATTTGTGCCTATGCATTAGATACGCATTACTTAAAATATTTCTATTATATATAAAAATAACTGTTTCGTTTTGTTTCTTATAGGAGTAATATTTGTTTCAATATGTAATATTGTACATTTTTCAATATTCAATCATTTTAGTTTATTTATTATGCATATCAAAGTAAGTACCAATATTAGGCTTAACATCATTTTTCTATCTAAATTTTTTCTGCATTTTTTTATTACTCTATTCTGTCGAAATTTTCTGCTGAAGAGGAAGTTTAGAAACCTGTTATAAGCAAGCCTAACCCTATTTCAGAGTCTTAAACCAGTGACAGCTCTAGATAACATAATATGTTTCCACTTTTGTCAATTAAATTTTATACGTCTACTTATATTTCGGTGGTTTTTTAAACATTTTCACATCTATTTTCATTCATTTTTTTTGCTTTGTAGGAATTAAAATTCGTATTTACGTATTTTATTATACTATATATATAAATAAATGTTGTGTTGGTTTGTGTATGCGCACATAACTCAAAATACTCTGCATGGATTAATCTGGAATATTGCCACAACGTTGCATTTGTCTCTGGTCAGGATCTTATGCACTTTTTATTTTAAAATCCTCTCTAATTTTTTTAAATTTAATTTTTAAGTGATTTTTTGGTGTTATGACGTCATACGACGTCACGATTCGCTCTGAATGCAAAAATTTAAACTTTACGCTTAGATTTTTCGAAATTATTGTATAACTCTTCTATGGTTATGTTTATGCGTTGTCACATTTATCTATTTATTGTCCTTTGATGCGTAATTGGGATTATTTTTCGAAAAGTCTTTTTTTTTTAAATTATTCTTTCAAGAACTCAAATTTTGTTTTGTAGGTTTGGCAACAGTTGGATAGCATTAACGCGGGATGTTTACGACTTTGATTAAATTCTACATCGTGTTTTTTCTGTAATTTTAAGCTAAATTTATTTCTCTTTATTAAGCGTAAATGAAACTAACGTAATTGACTTCTGTACGCTACTTATTTTTCTACCAAATAGTTTCCGTCAACCATTTACCTGAAATAAACAGACGTAGCCAAATGCCGCGATATAACACACACACATTCAATGTTTGGAAACAATATTTTTTTCCCACTTAGAGATATTTTAATGTGACGAAATTAATCGACGGAGTTTTTAATAGGAATGTTTTTTTTTCTTTTTTAGACAACTTTTTAAACTTCATTTGATTCTTACGTATTATCGCAACAATCGCCAACTTAATGATAACTCGCAAAGTTGGCCATTCCATTTTCGCAGATGTTGTACGCGCGGAATTGGCAATCGTGCTTCGTTTTATACAATATCGCTAATAGGTTGCGATAATACGTAAGTACCTTTTATTTGATGTTAGTATTGAAATACAAATGTTAAAACTAAGATTTTCTGATTTTGAGTCATCAAAAT